TATCGTGACAGGTGTGTTCCCGCACTGCTTGAAATCTGCCAATGTAACTCCTTTGTTTTGAACTGCGCTCAGACTAGAACAGACGTGCTCAACCTCAGCTCCCAGTTTTCTCAACCTAACCTGCGTTTTTTGTTTATAAACAATATTGATTTTCATATCAATCGAATTGTCTCACCTCGCGTTATAACCCGATAGAGGTTTTGAATCCTTTTTCAAGCCCTAGGGCTTGATTTTAAGTGAAATTTCAGTGTATAGTGGAGTGGCCTAGTGTTGTTGCGTAACAATAGTTGCCAATACGGTCACCCACTCGCACGGATTTTTCACTTTTGCGCATGCGCACTTACAGCTAAATCCGACAACATTGATCTGATCAAATCAAACACTAAGATGCAATCACAGATCAAAATCTCTTTACCGCGCATGACCAAATCGAGAATCTAAATCAAAGGAACACCTCTAATCTCCTTACTCAATCTACAACTACATCGCGTCACTCTCGTCGCTAAGCGACACGAAGAGACGCATCACCGCGTTGCACCGCGGCCGTCACGTCCGCGTCGTCGTCGCGCGTCGCCACCGTCGCACGCCGCACCGCACAGCACGCCGCGCCGCGCCGTACTCTTCGCCTGCGTTGTATACATCTTTAATTACCACTACGCAAACCATATGTTACATTCACACATAGCCGTGACGAAACTCAAATGAAGAGGTGCACTGCACATGGAGTGATATACTGTAACATATGTAAATGCTTACAACATAATAAGACGGATTGTGACTCCCAACTCTGCTTCGAAAACAAGATCTACAATATTAACATATCAAAACAACAACAAAGAAGTACAGAATGTAACAAAGAAAGGAATCAAGAAAAACAGACGCAAATAGAGCAGGAATCGAACCAAAATCCACAACAACAAAATCAAGAAGAAATGGAAACATCAAAACCTCAAAAAAGCTCCTCTGACTTGACCTCTGACTTAACTCCAAAAGGAAACAGCCTGGAACAAACGCCAACAGAAGATCCCACCACCTCCCACTCTACAGATCAAGGGAAAACAATCATGGACGAAATGAAAAAACTTACCATCCTAAAAGAAGAACACGAACAAGCTATTAAAGTGATTAGACAAATGATATATGAGATTGACAATGGAGGGACATTGGAAATCAGAATTGGAAACAAAATCTTTTCAAAAAGCAATGAAGTGAGAACAAATCTGATGAACACAAAAATGTTCAGAGAAGAACAACTTAAACTAACCCAAGAACAATTGAAACACCTTAAAAACGACCCAAATCAAACCACCACAGATAAACAAACCACCAACATCAGAAAACTCGACAAAGAAGAAGAAAATATCAACTTCGAAATTGTTAACGAAGTAAAGCGAAGAAGAATGGAAACCGCTGGAGATAAATCAGAAGAAACCCCAAACTCCGAAACAACAGAAGAGAACTCTAATGATAAAGATAGGAAAGAAGAAACTAACGTGGAACTCATGGATACTCAAAATACAGAAACCAAAGAAGAACAAGGCTCTAAAAGAAGATGCAAAAACTACACATCAAACACCAGTGATGAAGACGATTTGAACAAAACCTTTTCAGATCCAGAGATTACAACTCCATCTCGTAAACGTAAACTCAAAAGCAAAATCGAGAAAAAACGAACTCCACTTAAAAATACAAGAAATACTAAACCTGACATAAGAACATCAACACCTACACCAACTCTAACAACCAAAACCAAACCAACACAAGATACATACCAAACAGATTCAGAAATGGAAATAGAATTCGAAAAAGGAACCAAATATGACCAACTCAACAAAGAAGATCAACTCAACAAAGAAAAAGAAAAAGGAGATAAAAAACACCTACAACAACAACAACAATCTTCGGAGAATAATAATGAACTACCACCAGGGGCCTTCAACACCAAAATCAATTTCAACTCCAAAATCAATTCCAAAACCAACAAAACTCAAAATCAACCAAAAGAGAAAACAGACAAGAAAAAAGAAGAAAAACTGAATAAGAAACCGATAGAAAACAAAACATCAATCTCAAAAGAAAATGAAGATACCAAGATAAATAGAGAATCACCACAAATAATAGAGAAAATAGAGAACTTTCTGGAAAATATGAAGAAAACTGGAGAAAAACAAATGCAAGGAATCATGAAAGAATACATGAATAACATAAATAAAGAGATAAACTCAAAAATAAATGATATCTTAGAAAATACATTTGTCTCTAAACAGATAGAACAATATAAAAAAGAGCTAAATGACAAAGACAAAACGATCAAAAATCAAGAAAAAGAAATCGAAAAACTAAAAGAAGAAAATAAGAAACTAAAAGAAAAACCTCAAACTGAAAACAACAAAGAAATGAACAAGAAAATAGACAAAATCTATGAAAACAACAACAAAATGTTTGACGCAATGAAAAGCACAAACACAGTACTAAAAGAAAAAGAAGAACCATGGAATGTACAACTAGGGAAGAAGATACGTAAAGCGAAAGATACCATGAACCCTAACATGAAGAAACTACATATCCCTGAAACCGATAGGAATTCATTCGCTAACATATTGAAAAAACAAAACATAGATGTGAAGATTGACCAAGTTATCACAAGCAAAAATGGAGTGACACTGGCAATAACGGATCAAAAATCAGCAGAAGAGATAAAACAAAAACTAGATGAAAACAAATCGACTTACAGAGAATTAGAACCGAAGAGAATATACACATACAAGATAACGAATATAGATGCATGTCTAGACACAGAAGATATAATACAAGACCTATTAAAGAAAAACTTACATGAAAGAGGCTGGAAAAGAGAAAAACTGGACGAAAATCTTAAACATGTTGCCACATTCAAGGTGACTGGGAGATATTCAAAAGATAATCTTCAAACAGTTTTCTTTAACGCAACATCAGAATTATCAGAGGACTTCGATAAAATAAAACTTGTCTACATAGGATCTACAAGATGTAAAATTTATCCAACAGTACTAGTACTACCATGTCGAAAATGCGGTTCTCTATCACACCAAACACGATTCTGTGAAATAAAAGAAGACAAATACATATGTTACAAATGTGGAAATTCCAATCATAAGAGCAGTGAATGTAAAAACAAAATCAAATGCATACATTGTGCAGCAGCGAAGAAATCAGACACAAATCACACCACTGGAAGCCAATTTTGCCCATTTGTATATGCAGAAGCACAGAGAAGAGGTAGAAGACTCATCTGGAACTCCACAGAGGACGAAGGAGGGATAATACTACCCAGCAATGGAGAATCGACAGCCTGAAAACTCTGATACACTCGAAGAAGTCTACTCATCAAGTGACTCCGAAAAATCAATTGCTAAATACATAGACAATAATCTGTTTGGGAATTTTATGTCAAAAATAGAGAAAGCACTCAAACCCCAGAATTATCTACTATCAGAACAAAAATCAAAAAATTTCTTCAAAAGAAACCTCCCTGAGAATCGGAGCAACTTTAAAACAAATCACAATAGACGAAAAACATCATCGAAAAACTCCTCTAACATAATATCAACAGACAATGAAGATCCTGACGACCCAGACTGGAACCCACAAGAAGGACACAAAGGAAATGCCCTTTCTAAAATAGAAAAAGCTCTTAAACCCCGACACCTTAAAACACTCAAACAAAGAAATACTTCTACTAATGTATCAAACCGTTTCTCAATTCTCGATACCTCATCTGAAGAAGAACCAACACAAGAAACCCAAAAAATGACTCAAACTCTAATTGACACCTACTTGCAGAAAACTCAAGAAGATAGTGACTTATCAGAAAACATTTCATCGGCAGAACAAATCAAATTTTTCAGAAAAAACAAGACTAACTTCAATACGACCTCTACCAACCAAGAACTTGAAATATTCGAACATTCAATAACTCAAGATACTCACGGCTTCAACGCGATCCTCTGTAACACCAGGAAAAGGGTCATTTGCATGAACATAATAGATAATCTAGCTACACACAAAAAAGCTGGAATAGTGATGTTCACGGAACCAAATTCAAAGAAAAGCCAGACAGAAAACTACTTTGAATCTATAGATAAAAAAGTAGCCATAAAAACAACTAAAGACCTGACTGGATCAACCGAAAACTGGAACAGCTACAGAAATTTCAACACCTTTCAATGGAATGGGATCACAATTATTTGCTGCTATCTCAACACGGAAGAAAAAGATTCTGAATTAGAAGGATCCTTAGACGAAATAGAATCAATCATCAAGAAACATCAGAATCAAAAAGTTATCATCACAGGCGACTTCAATAGCAGGTCTCATATGTGGGGCGACATAGAAGTAAACTCTCGCGGAAAACTCGTAGAAAACTGGATGATATCAAACAACTTATACTGTCTGAACAATAGCGAAGAATTCACCCCCACCTTTATCGGTCATCGGGGCTCCTCCGTTATTGACTTGACTTTTGTCACCGAAGACATCCTAAATAAAGTTAAGATAGAAATTTTGGACAATGAAACCTTAAGTGACCATCGCCCGATACTAATCTCCTACAACAAATTGAAAAGAGTTATAACACCTACCAACCACCAACCGAATAATTGGTTTATTAATCCTACTAAATACAAGGAGTTCTCCATAGAATCAAAGAATATCCTAAACGAGATCACCGAAGACTTAACTCCAGAAATCTGCAAGGACATTATAACCAAAACAGCAGACAAGGTTTTCTCCCGCAATAATTCCAACCCCTACAGCACCAAAATTGTTTACTGGTGGAACCCTAAGATCAGAAAACTTTTCAAATCCGTGGATAGAACTAAAAGTAAAATCAGATACTTCAAATACCTTAAAAGACCTACTTCAATCTTAGCTCAAAAATTAGTCACGATCAAAAAAGACCTAGAAAAAGCTATTAACTCATCTAAGAAAGAAAAATGGGAAAGAATGATCAACAACCTTGACAAGGACCCATGGGGCACTGGATACAAGATTGCTAGCAAGAAACTCAAAAGTCCTAAAACCTATGATAACAACTCAATATCAACAGAGGAAACCATCGAAGCAATAAAGAATCTTTTCCCGGTACACCCAAAAAATGAATGGATCCCGCCAGATGTTAACACCGACGATATACCTCAGATCACAAAATCCGAAATCCTAGAATCAGTGAAAAAACTAAAGCCAAATAAAGCACCGGGACCTGACAACATTCCCCAAATCTTAGTAAAGCTCTTCGTAACAAACAACATCGAAAAGATTCAGATAATGATCAACAATTTGATGAAAACAACCTCCTTCCCAGCAGAATGGAAAAGAGCTAGGCTCATTCTTATTCCAAAGAAACGCAACAACCCTAATGACAAGAGGAAGTTTAGACCAATATGCATCCTAAATGCTTTTTCAAAGATTTTTGAATATATACTCCAAGAACGACTACTAAGCTGCGTAACCCTTTCAGATAACCAATATGGCTTTAGGAAAAAGAGATCAACCACGGACGCCATGAAAAGATTAATAGAAATCTACGACAATAATAGAAAAGTGCCTTATGATAAACGTAACATGATCTGTATTATCGGTATAGATATCCGTAATGCCTTCAACAGTCTTAGATGGAAGGACATTATAAGGGAACTACACAAACAACAAGTACCAGACTACCTAATTGCAATAATGCAAAACTACCTCCAAGATCGCTACGTTGAATCCGGAGAATTAACCTTCGAAACGACAGCCGGTAGCTTCCAGGGTAGCGTGATAGGTCCCTTATTGTGGAATATCGTGTATGACCCTATAGTTAAAAGCAAAACCATCCCGCATGCAGAGAAGTTGGCCTATGCCGACGACATGCTAAAAGTCCTTATAACTAAAAACAAAGAAACATTACTACAAGACAGTGGTAACATTACGAAACAAACAAGAAAACAACTTCAGAAAAAGGGACTCACCTTAGAAAAAACCAAGACTGAATCTCTGATACTGGAAGGAAAAAAGGTTGATAGAAGGGAAGCGAAGATATCGGTGGACGGAGAAGTTTTGGGTGTTGGGACATCATTGAGGTACCTTGGTTTCAATCTTAACAAGGGCCTCAATATGTCCCATCATCTCAAAATCGTCTGCGCAAAAACAAAGATGGTAGCCAATCATTTCAGATCGATCATGCCAAATATAGACGGTCCGACATTCCTTAAAAGGAAATTGATCGTGCACGCCATCTTATCCATCATTTGGTACGGTGTCGAAATTTGGGCCAACTCCTGCAACAAAAAGAACATAAATCTTATTACAGCAACTCTAAGACCCCTAAAAAGAAGCCTCAGCTCTGCCTATAAAACGGTTAGCAATAATGTACTTAACGTAATAACAGATATACCCCCCACCGACTTGCTAATTGAAAGAAAACTGAGAACAACCAGAAAACAAGAAGACAGACTGGAAATAGAAATTGACATAAACAAGCGCTGGAACGACAGATGGACAGAAGAAGGACTCCAGAATAAAGACAAATGGATACACAAGATACTTCCTTCCTTACAACCTTGGATTGAGAGGACACACGGCGATGTCGATTTCTACCTCACTCAGTTCTTTTCTGGACATGGCTCCTTTAACTCGTACCTTTCCAGATTTAAACTTGTCCCCTCCCCTTTGTGCCCCCTATGCCTGTCTGCCCCGGATACTCCGGAGCATACTTTCTTCGGCTGCACACACATTGGAGAGGACAAAAAGGACTTGGAAACAAAACTACACATTAAGATCTCTCCAAACAACGTAGTTAAAACCATGCTGGAATCCCAAGAAAACTGGAATCTAGTACAAAGTTACATAACCAAAACTTTGAAAAGAAAGATAACTTTAAATAACACCACAAAACACAACCACACCTCAACACCAAGTGTTGCAGCCGGAGAAAAATCCCCCAATAGGGATGATTCCGGCACTATCCGGGCAGACATGCAGCCGTGAGTTTGGTTTAGTTGGTCGGCTCGACCTCGGTCCCCGATCTCCCTAGCCAGCTCCTGATCAGAGCATTTTTTCTAACTAAAAGAGCTAAACCAACATATGATAGTTTAACCATCCAGACAATCATCTGGCCGAAACCCACCCCATGTTGGGGTGGTTGCGCGAAACAGTTGAGAGTCGAAACCCCTGACTATGTATAACACAGCCAGTGGAATAAGATGCTTAAACTGTCATATCTTCGAGAAGATTCGCCACTTTTTCTCCCGGTAGAACTACAAAAAAAAAAAAAC